AGCATGACCAAAATTGTCAATTGACCCCATAAAAACACAAAAACAGAGAATTTTGTCATGAATTCTATTTTTGTCTTTGTTATTGTAGAGTGTCTTTTGTTTAATATGTACTGCAGCATATAGACCAAGGTGAGCGACACAGGCTCTTGAGAGCCTCTAGTTACTGGACTTATTATGGTATACTGTTGTACGTCTGTGTGTTGTCAACATGTTGGACAATAACTCAAAAAATGCATGGTTAATTGTTTATATCTGTTGATGTAAGCTCCTTTTTTTAGCTCACCTGGCCCGAAGGGCCAAGTGAGCTTTTCTCATCACTTGGCGTCCATCGTCCGTCGTCGGCGTTAACTTTTTACAATTTGGACTTCTTCTAGAGAACCACTGAATGGAATGAAACCAAACATGGCATGAATGTTCCTTATGAGGTGCTGACCAAGTGTTGTTACTTTGTAGCGGATCCATCATCCAAGATGGCCGCCAGCGGGGGACTTAGTTTAACATAGGACCCTATGGGAAATACATACAAATGTCTTCTTTTAGAGAACCACTGAATGGAATGAAACCAAACATGGCAAGAATGTTCCTTATGAGGTGTTGACCAAGTGTTGTTACTTTGAAGCTGATCCTTCATCCATGATGGCTGCCAGATGGGGACAATGTTTAACATAGGACCCTATGGGAAATACATACCAATGTCTTCTTTTAGAGAACCACTGAATGCAATGACACCAAACATGGCATGAATGTTCCTTATGAGGTGCTGACCAAGTGTTGTTACTATGAAGCTGATCCATAATCTAAGATGGCCGCCAGCGGAGGACTTAGTTTAACATAGGACCCTATGAGAAATACGTACAAATGTTTTCTTTTAGAGAACCATTGAATAGAATGAAACCAAACATAGCATGCATGTTCCTTTTGAGGTGCTGACCAAGTGTTGTTACTTTGAAGCTGATCCTTCATCCATGATGGCTGCCAGATGGGGACAATGTTTAACAGAGGCCCCTATGGACAATACATACAAATGTCTTCTTTTAGAGAACCACATACTGAATGGATTGAAACCAAACATGGCATGAATGTTCCTTATGAGGTGCTGACTAAGTTTTGTTACTTTGAAGCTGATCCTTCATCCATGATGGCCGCCAATGGGGGGACTTCCTTTAACATAAGACCCTATGGGAAATACATACAAATGCTTCTTCTAGAGGTGCACTGAATGGAATGAAACCAAAACATGGCATAAATGTTTCTTATGAGGTGCTGATTAAGTGTTGCTACTTTGTTGCCGATTTACTGTTCAAGATGGCCACCAGGATTTTTTTATTAAATTACAGGACCAATATTAAACCAAATTTGGCCTCACTCATTATTAGGGTATCTGTTATGATTTTAATCTATTTTTACATGATTTCCAAAACCAAAGTAGAATCAGGTGAGCGACACAGGCTCTTGAGAGCCTCTAGTTTATTATTTTAATCTTTTGATTCTACTTTTCTAAGTTATGGGGTTTTATTCATTAATAAATGGTGATTTTTCAGTTTTCAGGAAGTAATTCAAAAATGCTTGGAGCAGTTTCCTTGAAACATGGTAACTGGTTGAAATAACCTCCCTTGTGTTTTTTATTATAAAATAATGACATTGAGGAGTTATGTAACTTGACTCGTTAAAAAAGGGAGGCTATTTTATATATTTTTATATTCAACCAACGATTCCCAGTCAATATTGTACTGCATGGCTTCCCATACATATACTTTTACATGTGTTAGATTTCAATGCAAAAACTGATCTGATCTCCTGAATGTGTGCATTTGTTAACTAATAACTAATATCATCAGTACTTCCACTAGCTTAAGACCTGGCCACACATTCATCATAAATGGAACTGTCAGTGTCAGACTCTATGTCACTGTATGAAATTTGTCTCTCAGACTTTTCTGATTCAGAGTTCACGGGGTATAGATCATTCACTATTGTTATTGAATTTCATCAAGAAAATCTAAATCTCAATCTTTTCAAATAAAACCTAGTAATTGTGGTGGCGGTAGAAAGATGTAAAGCAATACTATCCTGACTTGCCATATTTCTGCAGCGAAATTTGTTTACTCTAACATCAGAAGTGATTTTTCATTTCCAGCAAAGACTAAAATATTTGATAATTCCCTGACCTTTTACGGCATTTCTCTGGAAAAATATTATCACAGACATCATATATTTAAAATAAGAACTTATTTAATTGGACACAAACTGTCATGGCAGGTCTCATATAGTGATTATGATCATTATCTTTTTGGTTTGAAGGTGATATCAAAAATAAAAATAAGAAGATGTGGTATGATTGCCTATGAGACAACTCAATCTCCACAAGAGATACAGAAATTAACAACTTTAGGTCACCATACGGTCTTCAGATTGCACTTCAGTAAATATAGACAATGCAATTTCACATAGGAACTCTCTTTAGAGCCATTTTTGTAAAACTGTGCCCCTTTTACTATGAATTTCGTAAAAAAAAATTGCACTACTATGTAATTCAAAGGTCAAAACATAGGGATGTGTGGCATATTTTTAACATTAATATGCCCCAAACTTCTAAGAATTTAAACTTATACTAAAATTCTGTTCTTAGCACTACCTTTACTTTGGGCCTTCCTCAGTATTAAAAAGTCACCGCTACCATGAGTTTTAAGACTGGTAATATTTCCAAGTTATGTCCTTTGAGATGAAACATAGAGATCAAATCTGGGAATTAGTACATAAATGAAACAAAATATCTGAGTATTATTTATCTCCTAAAAAGAGACATGGCTTGTGAAACAGCTGTATTAATAAAAAAGAGCAATCTTCAACAATGAGTTGAAAACAAATGCAAAAATAGTGTTTTACAGTATCTTTTTAATTTTAACACATTGCTATGAAACATGAAATACAGGTCATATGCAATTTAAATTTTTATTTTGTCATTTATCATTTTTGGATATCTGTTATCACTAGATCTCTTAGTCATAGTTGCATTAATTCTTCAATAACAGTATTGGTAATGATAAAAATGATAAGCTATATTTTTTTCTTTTAATTAGACTGGTGATAGGTATATTGAAACAGTAATTGATGATGGAGCTAACGAAGAAACTGAATTGTGTTTATGTAGAGGTAAATTTTATGAACAAAAGGTCACTGTATGGCCTTCAGCAATGAGCAAAACCCATACGTAAAGTCAGCTATAAAAGGCCTGAAATGACAAATGTAAAACAATTCAAACGAGAAAACTAAGTACAAAAAATGACCAAAAAAGAAATTCATTTTAACCTGTGTTATCTGACACACTAGGGGACAACAAAAAAAATTATCAAATTAAGCAGGGTGTTGGAAAACTCATGTTTTTCTGCAAGGATAGGCATAATTTTGGACCATGAAAAAATGTGGGTTAAAGCAGGCTGTTGGAATACTCAGATGTTGGATTAGGCAGGTTACACTGCATGTATGTTACAAAATAACATGCGACAACCACTGAATTACAGGCTCCTGACTAATTAATCACTCAACAGGTTCCTGTTTACTGAAACATTTGGGTGGGAGTATCATCAGTGAGCAGAAGCTCGCAGTTTCACTTGTTTTCATCATCTCACAGAATTTATTTTTCCATGTCAGTTCAATTAAAAAAGGTCAAAATTTCCATTGATTTTTCGGATTGGAAACATGCATGAACATTTGTTTACAACAATAATTTTTTTTACATAATGTTTGTGATAACACTTTCAATATTTGACTTTCAAACTTATATTTAGTTTGTCAGTGCCTGCACTCTAATATTTGATGGACCTAATTATGTTTGAATTCTAGTTGATTTTGTCAAATTACACCAAAAGCTCTACTTTTGCATTGCCTTTTGTTGTTGTAAATTTTTATCGCTTTATAAGAAAACTTCACTCTTCATCAGATTGAAATATTTATTTTCTCGATACAATGGTCTTATCATTTGGGGCCAAATAAAACCCTTATGAAACGTACTCCTTTGGTGCTTCTGAAACAATTTTCTAGATTTGCTTTTTTCAGGATTGCTCAAACCAAAAAATGCAAGAGTCAAGGATTCGAAGAACTTGAATATGTTAGAATTTAAGAAATGTATGTTTAAGTCATATGTATAATGTAAGGTACATAAACAAACAAAATGTTAACTGCATAATAGCAGCATAAAATAGCTACAATTTATCAAAAGAGTTTTCATAGTTGCCAGTTAGCAAGTATCATATACATGTATATATAAATATATATATAGTAATAATTCCATTTTTACAGCTAATGGCAAACCTAAAAGACCTTGTTTGTTTTGTGGAAAATTTCAAACTCATCTGACCAGACATCTAAAAACAAAACATAAAGGAGAAGAGGATGTTATCATGGCAATGCAACTCCCACCAAGGGATAGGAACCAGGCATTTGATGTGTTAAAGAGAAAAGGCTACCATAATTATAATTTATTAAAAATGAAAGAGGATGATTTTAACGAAAAAAAATTGATTAAAGAACGAAAAGCAAGAAAAGACAGAGATGGTGAGATAGAGAAAAGAGCAATGTGCTCTTCTTGCAATGGTTTTTTTGTAAAAGAACATATGAAGAATCACAAAATAAAATGTTTTGCAGCAGAAGGATGCACTAGGGTTCCTGTTGCTATACCCATAGAAACTGTTAAGGATGTCAAATACTCAGAAGAATATAAGGAAGATATTTTGAGTTCCTTTTGGGATGACCAGAGTGGAAGATTCTGTAGAAGTGATCCATATATAAAAGATTTTGGATTTCATTATTATAGGAAGATGGTATCCAGAAAAGACAAATCCCAGCAAAATAGGAAAAGTATTACGAAGCAGATGAGAACAATTGCCAATTTATATTTCTATGTTAAAGAGGAGGCTGAAAAATCAGATATAACTGTAACATCTGCATTAGATATTTTTAAAATGGAGAACTTTCCTGTTTTTATGGATGGAATTAATTCAATGGCAGCAAAAGATGACGGAGGGATGAAGTCAGGACTGAAAAAGAATGTTGGTCATCTTATACAAAATGTCCTTACCCACTTAAAAGGAAAATATATATTAGAAAACAAGAAAGATGAAATGAGTAAAGTTGACGATTTCAATACATTATTAGACTACTATAAAGGAGAAATATTTAGTGATGCTGAGTATAATTGCAAAAAAAATAGGCAAGAAAACTTGAGACGACCTAGACAGCTACCAGTAGAGGATGACATTAATAAGCTTAGGCAGTTTATCTTAACACAAATAAAAGAGTTGGATGACCCTTATAAGTTTTTAGAACCAAATGAATATACCTTTCTCAGAGATCTTATAGTTAGTAGACTAACATTATTCCATGCAAAAAGAGGAGGGGAACCAAGCAGACTCACTTTAAAAGAATGGATGGATGCAAAGGATGATGCATGGGTAGATGAAAGCCAAATGAAAAAGGTGAAAAACCCAGAGGAATTGGAACTTTTTCAGAAATATAAATTGACATATCAATCTGGTAAATGTGTTAGTCACCTTCTCCCAATTCTCATCCCTGAAGACACATGGAAGGCCATGACAAAACTAACAGATCAGCAAATTAGACAAGCAGCAGGTGTTAAACAAACTAATATATACGTATTTCCTAATATTAAAGATTCAAACTTTCATGTATGCGGCTGGAAAAGTGTAAACAAAATTTGTAAGAAGGCAGAATTATCAAAAAGGATTAATGCTACTCAGATGAGGCATTACATGTCAACATTATTTGCCAATTTGGAGGTAACAGATGCTACAAGAGAAGCCTTCTACAGACATATGGGACATTCTGAAGAAGTTAACAAACACGTTTATCAATGTCCATTGGCAATACAAGAAATAACTAAAGTGGGGAAGTTCTTTCACCAATTTGATTTAGGTGAGTTTCATTTATGTTCTAAGCTAAATCGTGTAAACATATTGATTTTACATGGTCCAAACATCAGATTTATAGCTGTTCTGATCTAAATTGTCTATTCTATCAAACAAGATAGTTACATTTTACTCCAAAAAAGTTTAAAATACCATTTCTGAAAAAGCCTTAGAATGGGAGCTATAAGGATTATTATCTGTCGGCATTGACAGAAGAGTAAACTATTTGTATACAATTTATATTTCAGAAATTAGTAGACCTTAGGTTTTCATATCTTTTTGTGCAGATACCATATGTTATAAAGTTTCTGTCTGTCAAATGTCCATTGTCCTTGACCTCATTTTCATAGTTTAATGACTGCATACAAAAAATGTATAAATTTTTTATCATTTGAAATACTCATTATTATGAGTAATAGGATAACTATATTTTGTATACAGGACCTTTGCAAGGTGTACATATCTGTACATGTCTGTCAGACAAGGTTCATCAGACCTCACCTGAGACATTTATGTATCAGTCATAAAGGGGAAGTTTTCATGGTCAAGTCTGTATGTCAGATGTCATATTCAGGAGGTCAACTATATTGATTCAATAGTGTACAGGTTTCATCTGACTCTTCCTCATTTAAATGGTTCATTTGTCACTGTTAAGTTTCATTCGATTGTCTTTTTCAGAATTTTATGCTGATATTACTGGTGAGACATATCTCTGTGTCAACAGTTATCTTATTATGATAAGTGTTTTATAGGTTTTGTTTAAATAACAATCGCATTGTTTCTGTTTCAGATTCAGGTAATATAACAGCAGAAGAGGAACCCAACAGTCAAGGTATTATTTTCTGATATAGTGGCATTAGTGTTATTTCCTCCTTTTTTCATTAAAAGCATGCTAGCAATCTAAACTTCTACTTTTTGGAAGAGGGTGGTAAAGCCCCTTTTATTTATTATCATTTTTTTTTTACATTGCTTACTCAATTACTCATGCAAAATATGAATAAAAATTTTAAATGGGTCAAGTATTCACTCTGTCATCTATAAAATTTTAGATTAAACAGATTTAGAAATTATTGTGATCATTGAACAATCAAACAAATGCGAGTTTGATTATTGAGATTTATGGAAAAGCTGCATAGAAATAATGTTATCAAAATTTTAGATGGGAGTTTTGCAAGTCCTTTCTCACCACAATTTTTGCAATAATAAAAAACATGGTAAAAATTTATGACTCTACAGTAATTAGTAGATAATCTTTTAGTAGACGTTTTCAAAAGTGGTTTTGAAACTGTTTCATGTGTTTAGGGCTACTGCAAAGCCTTTTGGATTTGGAAAGGCATGGTAGATAAGCTTTTTCAAAAGCTTTTTCAATAGAATTGATAATTAGATGCGAGATGCAGTGATTTGTAAATTTTACTGTCGACTTTAAATTTGTTAGCCAAGGCAAGCTAACCATCTCTTGAAGCTTGAACTTATATAAATCCTTTGAATGTTTCAAAGTTAATTGACTCTAACAATGAGTTCAAGTTGTCAATCATGCAAGGAACAACAAAAATGTCCATAAATATTTTTTGGTATGTGCTTTCTAATTACATCAAGTATTAATATTTTTTAAACAATTATATAAATAATGACAATAAACCACTTTTAACTTTATTAGCTCACCGAAGGGCAGCATGTGAGCTTATGCCATCACTTGGCGTCCGTCGTCATCCGTTGTCTGTTGTCGATGTCTGTCGTCGTCTGTCGTCGTAAACTATTTCAAAAATCTTCTCCTCTGAAACTACTGGACCAAATACCTTCAAACTTTAACTAAATGTTCCTTAGGGTATCTAGTTTATAAATTGTATCCGAAGGTTTGATCCATCGACAAACATGGCGGCCATGGCTAAAAATAGAACATAGGGGTCAAATGCAGTTTTTATACGACTGCAAAAAATTTTTTGTGGTCGTATATTGGTATGACGTTGGTGTCGTCGTTGGCGACGTCGTTGTTGCCGAAGACACATTAGTTTTCGCACTCTAACTTTAATTTAAGTGAATGGATCTCAATAAATTTTACCATAAGGTTCAATACCACAAAAGGAAGGTGGGGATTGCTTTTGAGGGTTATGGTACCCACAGTTAAGGAATTAGGGGCAAAAAAGGGGCCAAAAATAAGCATTTTTGTAACTTCCAGACATAACTTGTGTGTAAGTGTATGGATCTCTCTGACATTGTACCACAAGGTTCCATATCACAAAGGGAATGCTGGGATTGATTTTGGGGGTAATTGCCTCCAAATTTTAGGAATTAGAGGCCAAAAAGGGGCAAAAAACAAGCATTTTTCTAGTTTCATGACAATAACTTGTGTGTAAGTGTATGGATCTCTTTGACATTGTATCACAAGGTTCCATATCACAAAGGGAATGCTGGGATTGATTTTGGGGGTAATTGCGTCCAAATTTTAGGAATTAGGGGCAAAACTGGGGCAAAAAACAAGCATTTTTCTAGTTTCATGACAGATTGTGTGTAAGCAGTCAGGGGCATTACTTAAACAAGTATTTTTTTTTAGTTACTTATATAGGTAATTTTTGTTTTTAAAAATTATAAAATTACTCAATAGAGTTATTTTAAATTTCAATAGAAGCATGGACTAAATGTAGTTTTCATGAATTTTTACATCATTTTATATCATAAAATAAAGAATTTATTAGATTTCAGAGGAGTGTAGAGATAAAGGGTTACTTTAAAAATAATGACAAAAATATTACTTGAATAAGTTATTTTATACATCTTTGAAAGAATTATTAATAACACTTATTTAAGGAACATATGTAATTGTTTTGGGTTACAAGTTATATATAACTTCAAGTCTTAATTAAATCACAAGTTTCTATCTATTTATATATGTCTACCTTCAAGATTTTTGAGGAAAATGATATTTTAATAGTCCCCAAAGACCAATCTTTGACCCAAAAGCGTCGATATGAAAGATAAGTGCGTCAGAAAAGCAATTAGTGTTTCAGAAAGATTAGATTTTATATTTCATGGGAAAAATAACCAGATGACCGTGAAAATTTGTTAAAGCTAATAAAATCTGTATAGTTGATCACCTATAAAAATGATATTTAGAAAAGTTACTTATATAAGTAATATTTAAAACAGCCTCGTTTTCAACATTACTTGTATAGGTAATTTTAAATGTTACTTGTTTAAGTAATGCCCCTGACTGGTAAGTGTATGGATCTTAATGAAATTGTACTACAAGGTTCCATATCACAAAGGGAAAGCTGGAATTGAGTTTGGGGGTAATTGCCCAAAAAGTTTAGGAATAAGGGGCCAAAAAGGGGCCAAAAATAAGCATTTTTCTAGTTTCCAGACAATAACTTGTGTTCAAATGTATGGATCTCTCTGAAATTGTACTGCAAGGTACCATACCACAAAGGGAAGGCTGGGATTTGATTTTGGGGGTAATTCCCTCAAAATTTTAGTAATTAGGGGCCATAAAAGGGCAAAAAACAAGCATTTTTCTAGTGTCAGGACAATAACTTGTGTGTAAGTGTATGGATCTTTATGAAATTGTACTGCAAGGTTCCATATCACAAAGGGAAAGCTGGGTTTGAGTTTGGGGGTAATTGCCTGAAACGTTTAGGAATTTGGGGCCAAAAAGGGGCCAGAAAACAAGCATTTTTCTAGTTTCCAGACAATAACTTGTTTTCAAGTGTATGGATCTCTCTGAAATTGTACTGCAAGGTACCATACCACAAAGGGAAAGCTGGGATTGAGTTTGGGGGTGATGAATCATAAGGGGGTTCAAAAAATTGGGGGGGATATTTTTTTCCTTCTTTTTCTTTAAAATTTTCCATTTTAAATTGGTTATTTCTGATTTATATATAAAAACAAATAATAATGATATGGTTTGAATATGTAAATTAAAAATTTTTAAGTTCTTAGACCACTTTCATTCTTAGTGAGAAACCTATGCTGTGTCAAATATTTAATAACAATCCAAATTCAGTGCTGTATCAAGCTTGAATGTTGTGTCCATACTTGCCCCAACTGTTCAGGGTTTGACCTCTGCGGTCGTATCAAGCTGCGCCTCAGCGGAGCATTTTATTGACTTAAATCTCAAAAACTAAAGCTTTTAGAGCAAATCTGACTGGAGTAAAATTGTTCAATTGGTCGAGATCTATCAGCTCTGAATTTTTCAGACGAATCGAACAACCCATTGTTGGGTTGCTGCCACCGAATTGGTAGTTTTAACAAAATTTTGCAGTTTTTTGTTATTATTTTGAATATTATTATAGATATATATAAACTGTAAGCAGCAATAATGTTCAGCAAAGTAAGATCTACAAAAAATTTAATATGACCATAATTGTCAATTGACCCCTTAAGGAGTTATTGCCCTTTAAAGACAATTTTACACAATTTGTTCATCAAGTTTACTAACATTTAAAAATCTTCTCCTCTGAAATACAGCTGAGTGATTCAGGCTCTTGAGAACCTCTTGTTGATATTGTGATTAAGACAATAAAATTTTAATACCCAAGCTCACCTATTGTTTGTAAAAAGTAGTGATTAACACCTGTAAAAACATTTATGGATGTGTCAATTATGTCCCCTCAGACAATGAAACTATACTTAATTGATTTTTCATTACTTGTTCAGGTTTTTTGTTAATTGGGCAGTTGATTAAAATTTGTAGAATAAAACAAAGTTATATCTTTTACATAGAGAAAGGACACTTGTCTACTTTTCACATGTTACACTGAACTTGTCTAAATTCTTTTAAATAAGATGAATAAATTAAGGCTTAAAAAAATCACCTAAATTAGCTTTTTTCGTTAGGATAAAAAGTTATAAGAAATTCTTTGATATTGCAATATTGAATGTAATCAAAAGTTATCCAAAGTAATCATGATTACTTTAACATATTTAAAGAAAAGTAATATAATGTAATCTATTACATTTGAAATAAGGTGTAATTTGTAATGTAATCGATTACATTTTATTAGCAAAGTAATTGTAATATAATCGATTACATTTTATTAGCAAAGTAATTGTAATATAATCGATTACATTTTATTAGCAAAGTAATTGTAATATAATCGATTACATTTTAAAATAATCAACCCCATCCCTGCTTCTCACAAGCAAAAAACCCATAGCTGTTAAATTTAAGGACATACACAACAAGCACAGGGACACATTCTACTGCATGGACACAGTACAAGCAAAAGACCCTGCAATCTCTATTAAAATAAGGAAATGTGGTATGAGTGCAATAAGGACAACTATACCTGTCCACCCAGTTATTCATTCTACTTTTATTTGATATTTTGGAAGTATGTATTTATGGAGAGCCGAGCTGAATGCTCTCATTGAATTTTAACCAATTCTATCTTTAAACCTTTCCTCAAAATTGAGTTTCTACTATATAACCCATATAACATAACAGTGATTTGGTTAATTTCAATGTAATTTAAAAGAAAAAACAAGATCTATGACCCCTAGTTTTTATATTGAAATTTGAAAGAAGATTGACCCAGAAGTCTTTTACAGGAATTTAAGAAACATATATCCCCAAACTTTAAGACACCCCAGGTACCTTAATACTGTTTTCGGGAATTATTTGGATAGGTGAATGATCTCTTGATTTTGAAATGTATCGTTTGTCATTCCAGAGTTATTGGACCTTTTACAGTCATAATTGACAGTACATATATATGCCTAAGGGTATCCTCGTGCATATTTTTCTACAGAGCATTTTATTTGCCTCTGATTATATGCCTTCTAAAGACCTCATTTTATTTTTGCAACAATTTCAATATATGCATAATATAAGGGCTTATCATGTGCTCTTGACCTGTTTAATCTATTACTAACTGGCAATGGGTTATTTCACTAATTAGTGTTTGGGCAATTCTATATAAATCAATTCATTCTGTTATTCTATATTTACTTTGTATTATTAGAGGATGTCGCAGGACCATCATCACTGAATGACAACAAGTGTGCAAAAAGTGAAGGTAAATATTCATTAAATTGCATTTCTTCAAATTGAACTCATGCCTTAGTATAATAAAAGTAACAAAACATGAAAATTTTATATTAATGCAATTAAATTCACAAACCATTAATTGCAGTATGAAAAAATTGCCAAGAAAGGACCTCTGTATTTTACACAGGTAAATAAAAGAATTTTTTATAGGCCCGTCAAAATTTTGACGGGACGTAATATGGTATACAAATGTCCGGCGTCCGGCCATCCGTCCGTACGTCTGTCTGTCTGTCTGTCCAGTGTCCACATGTGTGTTTTTACACATGTCGCGCTGTATCTCAAAAACGATTTATGATTGTTGCTTAAAAATTTACACACTTCTTAGTTATATTAATCTAAAGATCTGTATATTTTTTGGTGATGATCTAAAATTTTATTTTAGAGTTATTGAGTTTTTTGTGTATTTAGATTCTTAATTTTTGGTCCCGTTTTCAAATTGGTCTACATTAAGGTCCAAAGGGTCCAAAATTAAACTTAGTTTGATTTTAACAAAAATGGAATTCTTGGGGTTCTTTGATATGCTGAATCTAAACATGTACTTAGATTTTTTATTATGGGCCCAGTTTTCAAGTTGGTCCAAATCTGGGTCCAAAACTAAACTTTGTTTGATTTCAAAAAAATTGAAAAATTGAATATATGGGGTTCTTTGATATGCTGAATCTAACCATGTATGTAGATTTTTGATATTTGGGCCCCTTTATCAAATTGGTCCACATTGAGTTCTAAAGGGTCCAAAATTGAACTTTATATGATTTGAGTGGTTTGTAAATTCTTGAGATAGACCAGCTTGTCTGGAGATAACTTTCATTAAGTTAGCCAAAGTTTTTTTCCTAAAACCTGGTTCATGTACCATATTTCACAGGAGTGGTTGTAAGAATTTAGTGGACACTGCCATAAGTCATCTCTTTTTGGATTTAGCTTGAACAAGTACTTTTGAAAGTTGCCACAGGACACAGAGGGTGATCTAAAAAAAAAATTAAAATATAGGTAAACAAATCTGTCAGTTTCTCATGTTAATAGTTATAAATACATTCACTTCTATAAACTTGGGCATGCTCATACGAATCAAGTGATAATTAAAGAGTTTCAGTTCGTTTTTAAAGGCAGTGCTTTAATGCCTTTCTAGTTGCCGTGTTAATATTTCTTTCCGCGATATCCAACTTATCTACGTGGGGGGTCATTTAGCTCCAAGTAGATCCGGAAAATGTTGATTCTCTCCTCTTCTTATTGTGGTATAAAATGTTTTTTGTCTCATTTCATTTACATTGGGAAATAGAGAAACGATCATTGTGTTTTGTTAGTTTTAAAAACTTTTGATATATTTGTATTTTACATTATAAGCAGTCAACCGATTGACAAACTAGAATTATTTGAATTCCGTGTGGAAAGAGGTCGGGTTAATTTCGAGTGTTATCTGCAATCTAGATGTTTATAAATCATTTCAGTCGTTGATATAATAATTAAAGGTCGACTGAACATGAATTATATTATACAATTTAAAGCGCATTTCTGTTTATGCACGCGAACCCGTCTAACGTTATTGTTATTTCGCAGTTATATAAAGTAGCAAATTATCGTTCCTGAATAGGTGGCGCCGTGGTAGCCGATCCTGTACTTCAACTTCCGGTTTCTGCACTGTGCAACTATTACAGTTGCATTTTTAATTAACGATGCCAAGTACTTGTTGTTGTGTACCTGGATGTCATTTAAGAGGAGGACATGCATTTCCAAATGACATAAAAAGAAGGAAAAGTTGGATCAACGCCATGGCCCATACGCAGATGGGACGAGAACACGATGAAATCGTGGAGTCCATCTCAATCAGCTGTTGTTTGCAAGGCACATTTTACTGAAAAAGACTACGTGCAGGAAACTATTCATGGTAAAACTCTATTTTCTTTTTAAAATATATAGTTATATATGTAATCGCCATGCGAATAAACCAAAGTCAGTTTACAACCGCAATTATCGTTTTAGAATGAAAGGGGGTGGTTAATTCAAGACGTCATAATTTTTTGGATTACGATTCAATGTGATCTGTTTGAGATTTTTTGGTGCTTGCTACAATTATAATGATTTCTTACAAGAGGTTTATCATACTGAGAATTATTTTAGCAGTAATTATGCTTATGTAGTAATGACAGGAATGCATAAGCTATGCCTCATAGACTTTCTTGAAAAATATCAATGACAATGTTAACAGGAACAAAACAATGACATGCTCTCATCTATATTATAGTTATTTAGGTACAAACAATGTATGTTTGTTGCATACGTCTCTCATTGTTTGTCCTTTGGATTTACATAACGTTACATTTTGATGTACATTGAATCAGGCTATCATAGTTTTATCCAGATTGTAATGAATAAATCTAGTTAATATTTTGCCAGGTTACGAGTACAAAGGAATTATAGTTATCTCGTACCATTGTAACTCGTACCAATGTCAACTCGTACCACTAAACAAAAACTTGTTCCAATGCAAACTCGTACCACTGCTAACTCGTACCACGGTAAATTCATACCATTGTAAACTCGTACCAACTTATTTAAATGCATTCAAATGGTGTTAAATGATGAATATATACTTTAATTTCACTCAATACCTCTTAAGTCTGTAAAATGTATATAATTTGAAATTACAATAACCAATTTGTAGCTAATTTTCCTTGTCTAATTGGATAGAGAAAACCGTGGCAGATTGGCTTTGTTGTCTCCCTTGAATAGACTCTTTTTTAAACTTTTACTGACAACTATTTGATTTAATTTTTAATCATTCCAAATCAGTAACATTGAATAGATTTGGGTATTTTTCTATTGTTTCTAAAAGGAATTTTATTTAATGAAAGAATTTATTGATTGTGTTTTAAAGGTTTAAAATTGTTTATGACCAACAGTTAGAAAGTATGAAATTTATTTTTATACAATATTCAGCACATTTCAGCAGAATATGACCATGCTTATATGATTATACAAGTTGATTAGTTAAAGATAAAAAAAACCAAGTTGATTAGTTAATAATCAACCAATAATCACACAATCAAAGGAATTTAATATATTTATTAGCATGGTAATTAAGAAATTATATTTGTATTTTTGTCTAAGTTTCCATTAAAATCTGGTATAAATTTCAAAGATATTTTAATTTTTTGTATAAAGCTTAAAAAAAAATAATCATAAAACATTCGTATTTTTGTCTAAGTTTTCATTAAAATCTAGTATAAAATTCAAGTAATTCAACTTTTTTTATTTAGTTTACCAAAAAAAAAATCATAAAACTTTCGTATTTTTGAATATATTTTTAATGGTACGAGTTTGCAGTGGTACAAGTTCTGATTGGTATGACTTCCCAGTGGTACGAGTTTAAGTTGGTACGAGTTTACGTGGTACGAGTTTACAATGGTACGAGTTAACTTGCTTCTGTACAAAGTATGCATTGCTAATGGAAGTTCATTTAATTATCAAAAAACTAATGTTTTATAACCTTTTTCAGGGCACAAACCCACCATACAGAGACTTAAGTCTACTGCCAATCCCAGCCTATTTTCCTGGACCAAGCAAGAGACTGAATCGTCCGCAAAAAGAAAAATCAGGGCAGTTTCCTGTGAAAACAAAAGAACTAAACTTGATGAATATTGTAGTAGAAATCTAGAGGAAAGTTTTGATTGTAAAGTTGGTTTTCTTGAAGAAGTAATTCATACTGCAGACAGGATTTATGACTGTCCACCACCAACTGCCGAGCTAATGTTGAGCTTCACAGATGGAATTACGCAAACACCATCAATGCCTATATTTTCAGCAGAGAATTTTGAAATGAAGACACGTGACACAGCCATGCATTTTTATACCGGTTTAGAGTTGTATACTAAATTTTTATTTGTTTTGACCACACTTGGTCCAACAGCACATTGTTTGAGATACATATATTTTCAAATTGATAGGGTGTCATTTGAAAATCAGTTTTTTTATGACTTTGATGAAATTGATGCATTATACAACCAACTTTGAACTGTCTAGATTCTAGATTGAAACTAGTGTTAAGAATATTGTGTAAACATGGATTGTTTTTATGTCTAAACAGTGGCGTGAGGCTAACACTTGGCCATTTAGTGGTTTAGTCAGGTATTTTTCGCCATCCAACTTAGAATTAAAGTTTCCTACAACTTGGATTATTATTGACAGCACAGAATATCCCGTGATAAAACCTAAAGCTCCTAGAGCTCAGGCAACCTTTTCATCATATAAAAACAGAAACACTGAAAATACTTGTATGTTCGACACCTGGTGGTTAAGTCAACTATGTCTCTAATGCATATGTTGGTTGTACCAGTGACTGTGAAATAGTTGAAAGATGTAGAATAGTTCATTTATGTGATCCAGGTGACAGTGTGATGGCAGACAAAGGTTTAAATGTGCAAGATTTGTTTGCTCACTTTTTTCAAAAAAAGAAACAGAATTAGTTCCAAAACTCTTATACGGGATAGAAAAGTCTCCAATTAACACGTGCACATAGAGCTAATTATTGGACTTGGCAAAACATACAAAATTCTAATAAATCCTATGAATGGAACTGAAACAAAACTTTCATCTGAAATAACATTTAGTTGTTTTATGTTGTGTAATTTTAGAACTTGTATTGTGCCAAAGGATGCATAAATAAAAGTGACGCAATGAAGTTTGTTCTGATACATATATATAAATATTATTTACAATTACATGCACATGTAAATTGTAATGCATATAAAAATAAGGAGATGTGGTATGATACTCAGTGAGTTTATCGAACCAAAGTGCATAAGAAATGAGTTAAGCAGTTACAGGTGTTACTGTCACCATACAATCTCCAACAATTAGAAAAACTTGTACCGTGGAAAAAATTTCAGAGATCTTACAACTAAGTTTTGTTGTCTCACCTTGACTTTGGTGAATTGTTTATATCTGTTGATGTAAATATAAAAAAGAAGATGT